GCAGCATTTTTTATTGTTGTAATGTATAAACTCTAGGTTTTCATAAAATGAACAAATGCCTTTCTATTTTGATTTATTAAAAAAGCAAAATTTCATGAATAAATCTTTGCAGTGATACTTTCAAGTACCCCTGAAATCTATTTCAAAAACATCTTGAAACTAGTATACTAATTTCATGTTTTGAGAATTCATAATTGATGAGTATTGATTTTCATAGGTCCTTAATTTACTTTACAGACGTAAATTAGGAGTCAAATTTTCTTTCCCATGTATATTTCAGACAAACTGCTTGACTTTTCAGAATAAAAATGTTATTCTGACTACTTTAAATAGCATCCTACTTGACAGTCCTTTCAGAAGTGAAAGAAAACCTAAATATGACTTTATAATCTTTCATTTTGTCAAATGTAACCTTATTCATACTATTCATTGAGATATTCTTTATACTAAATCTCAATTTCTCTTTGATATCTTGGCATAGCAAAACCAAAAAAATTTATCAAAATAGAATGATATTGAGACTGTATAATCTAGTAATCTCCTTATTGCAGAGGGTCTTTCTGGTCTTATTTCATCAAATGTGTTTATGTGATATCTAGAATCACATAAGTTCAAAATATGTGGAATTGATGATGTTTTAACTTAAAATATATGCTTCCAATATCATTGCTAGGTTTCTTTCTTTCATTAAAGTACGTAATTCCACATATATTAGCATTATATGTTAATGCCAATTTAATAATTTTTTTTCTTAAGCAACCAAATACATATCAACTTATTTATATAATTAGCTGATGTAGTATAAACATACCAGCTAGGTAAAATCACTGTAATATATTATCTTAATTTAAAATTGTCAATAACTGTGCATTTGACATTGTACAATGTTTAATTTTTAGTCTTTTATTTAAAAAAAATATGTTTGATTAACATCGCATGCCTTATCATGCAATGTCTTCCTCCTTCCTGGATTTCCAGAGCTATGGAAAATTTAAACAATCATAATCAGACATAGAGAGTATGAAGTTAGCTCTCAGCTATCCTTGTAATGGAATAGAGCAATGGGTGGGGAAAAGATAACTTCTTAAAGTCGTCTTTTTATTTTGTTTTTGTTTTTTTTCCTTTAGGGACAAGGTACCCAGGATTGAACCCAAAGGGCACTTAACCACTGAAGCACATCCCCAGTCTTTTTATTATTATTATTATTTTGAGAGATAGGATATCACTAAATTGCTGAGGCTGTCTTTCAACTTGGGATCTTTCTGTCTCAGCCTCTGAGCTGCTGGAATTACAGGCCTGTGCCACCATGCCCAACTAAGTTAATTTTTGATTTTAAGTATATTTTTTAGAAGAAAATTTACCATATTTTTCATTTTGCAACCATACTATAAAGGTGAGATCAAGGTGTCCTCCTAACTGATTTTTTTATATCTTCTTTTTTAAGCTTTGTAATAATTATCTAATTTCTTCAGCACCCAGTCCATATAATGAGAAGCAACCAAATCTAGTGTCTTTTAATACATAAATTTATTTTACAGACATAAATTTCTCCAATGATTAGTGTAAGTAAGAAGACCTGTACCCTTTAAGGAGAGTTTTTGTTTTGTTTTGTTTTGTTTTGTTTTACTCAGTCATGCTGTGTTCTGAAACTACTATCCTTGTTCCTTCCTGAATAAGGCTAAATTCATTTTTGTTTCCATTGGCTGTACCAAAAGATCCCTCAGCTACTCAGTATTGGTCAGTGTGTAGCAGATCAAATCTGTTGTTAGTGACCCTTCCAATACTGCTCTTTACAAATACTTTTCATTGATTTATTTTTGTACCATAACATACATACTTTCATGTACTTTTATTCAAGTTATTTCCCTTTTTGAAAGAGAAATATATAGTTGGTTTATAGGGGATTCTTCAATAAAAGTGTTTTATTTATCAGTTATGTTAAATGTAGTGACTGAATAAGATGTGTCACTGGTGTACAAGAACTTATATTAAATATGTTCTTCTCTAGAGATAATTAGGAAATGTTATTCTTTAAAATACAGTATTCAGTATTATGCATGTTTTTTCAGTTTTTTTTTTCAGAAGTACCTGTTGGATCTTTTCAGAATTACTGGATCTTCAGCCTTTGCCAATTATGGCTTTGGGATGTAAAGCATATGAAGCCCTCTACAACTTCAGCCACTTTAACCCTGTGCAGACACAAATATTTCATACACTGTATCACACAGACTGTAGTGTCCTAGTTGGAGCACCCACTGGATCAAGAAAGACTGTTGCAGCTGAATTAGCTATTTTCAGAGTCTTCAACAAGTATCCCTTCTCAAAGGTATGTTGAACATATTGTGTGCTTATTATATTCAATTAGAAAAGATAGTTAATGTCTCTAAACTAGCCAGGTCCAAATATCCTGACATACCCTGGTGAATAGCTTTGTTATACTCTCAGTGAATTTTCCAGGGGGCCATATCAGTATTAAAATAATTTTTTGCAAAAAACTTGATATCAACTTTGGAGGATTCTAGGTGAATTTCTCATTCATATAGTGCTCACACATCCTCATATCTATAATTCATGGGTACTTCTTTTATGAGGTAATTGATTCTTAGCTGTACTTGTTAGGTATATAATGATTCATAATCATTCTTTGGATATGAATGAAATGCTAACACTTTGATTATACACAGGAAATATAGACATAATTTATGCTACATTCCTCCAAATATTGATATTATCAATTAATGTCAAATAACACCGGAATCAAATAAGTATTGATTTTTAATTTTTTTAAAACATAATATTTAGTAAATTTTCCCCAATACTATTTTATTTTTAATAAAAATGATTTATATTTGAGGTGTTCGATGTGGTACTTAAATATACATATAAATTATAAAATAATTGCTAGAATCAAGATAGCTAGATATCCATCACTTCAGATAATCACATATTTTTGCAGTGGGAACATTTAATATCTAGTTAGCAAATTTCAACTCTATTAATACGATATTATTAAATACAGTTATCCTTCTGTACCTTAGATGTCTAGAACTTGTTTTACATAAATGAAACTTTGTATCCTTTAAGCAATACTCCTCATATCTCCCACTTTCACCCCCTCTTAACCATTATTTTAATCTGCTTCTATGAATTTGACTTTTTTATTATTGCACCTGTTAATGAAATTATTCAGTGTTTTGTTGTTTTCAGCTTATTTCTCTTAACACAATGTATAGTATTGCAAATGGCAAGATTTTCTTCTTTTGTA